GTACAACAGGTTTTAATATCCCATCGGGAACATTCCCACCCCAAGGTACACCAGGTCTGGTTATTCCACAAGGAATAATCCCACTTCAAAGTGGATCAAGTCCGGCTATCCCGCAGGGAACTGTTCCTATTCAAGGAGGACCAGGTGTGATTATAGAACCAGGTGTTATTCCAACCCAATCTAGCGGTGGTCAGCCCAGTTTCACGCCATATGGTCAACCAGGCTCAATCACTTCTCTTAATCCATTCCCCCAATTCGTTCCTTCCGAAATCCCAAACCAGCCATATGTAACACAATGTATCCCATCTAAAACTCACATTCAATGTGTTTGCCCCAAAAATTATATCGTTTGCTCAAATAATAATCAGTTGAATCAATGCTGTCGTAGATAAGTGAGCAAAAGAGCAATATCTACAATCACTTTTTGTAGCGTTTTATCCAATCCTATTCTGTTTTGTTGTATATATTTACGTGATTCTGATTCGATAGTGCAATAAAATGGATTTCTGTTTCTATCGCATCGATTCCAACATTTGACGTACACGCGAATGACTGAATGATTTTTCAAAAGAATTCCAGGACATTGAATACAAGTAACAGTGATCCTATGAATCGCAAGTATCCATGCTCTTGTCCTGAATTGTCCCACAGCGATGACTAGGCACAAGGTGAACCAGGGTCCCGTTTCCATATTCCTCTAGCGAACTGAAGATAAATATTTTATCTTTTTAACGCTCAGCCAACAGTGATGAAATTTTTATCAAATTCGGTTCGCACAATCAACTGAACATGTCTGTTAAGGATGGATGCTGACGAGCACGTGAGCAAAATGTGAGCATGAATTGTGGCTTAGCAACCAAAAATACACTTTTGCAGTAGGCACTAAGCGAACAGATCTCAGTAAGCTCGTGAGAGTGAGTATAAGAAGCTTAAAACAGTCTGCTTGAATCATCAGCCGTAAGTGAACACTGTCTTTTTTCAAATATCCCTCGTCACTGTTATGTGAACGATTCCACCAAATCCACGCTTCTGCCGGAATGTGAGGAACATCAGTTTCGAACGTTCGCTGTGCCCTCAACTTTGCTACACAAAACGTGAGCTTTTTACATCATCCGATTCAGAATGCTGTCAAGTATCAGAGAATTAAATACTTTGATGATTGATAACGCACAGTTTTACAAATACATTTATATTCCCAACAGAATGTCGTCCAGCTGAGCGACTGCATTAGATCAGCAGTACCATAGGAATATCCGTAGCGTCATTTTCAAACATTTCGAGGAGAAAAATATTGTTGAAAAAGAATTTTCTCAAGACAGAAGCGTCAAACTTCGAGACCGACATAGGTTGGGACGACGTCTGTCGATGTAAACCTGTGTATGCAATTTGTGCGATTGAGTTTATCGATGTATCAAAAGTAATGAACAGCAATTGAAATTGTTAACAGTTAGCACAGTGATCATTGATACGCACATCTATCACAGATGAGCAAAATTAATTACACAATGAAACACTTAAATCTATCGTTTATCACGTAGCAGAAGCTTTTAATTGCTTTTTTATCGCAATATAAGCAATTCCTTCACGAATACTTCATTTCAACTCGACTCGTGAATAATATCACCTGTATATTTCGAAGCGGAATCGCTCATGATGAGCGGGTTTTGTATGATGTCTTGTCAAAAAATAAGCGTTAAGGACTCAAGAAATCTCATAAAAGGCTACCTTAATTGNCTCTAAAAGTTGAATGTAATATTTCAACATATTACATTTGTTGCATTTTATTATTTTAATCATGGTAGCCTTTATATATTGACAGAACATGTAACTAATCTATTGATTGAATTTGTATTAGAATGACAGACATAATCCAATATATTGTGAGCTCTGTGTGATCATAGGGATGTATACAAATCAATGTAATCGTTTAAATGTATCGCAAATGTTGCTGCTATCACTGGCTTAAATGAAATTTCACAATATTCTTACGCAATTTTTCCTTGCGCACTTGATGCTTTGCTGAGTTGCAGTCATTGAATTGACACAAATTTGACTGGGAAATACTGCATGAAAGTGCATGATCCAACATTGGACTTGAAAAATATTAACAGTCACACGTTTGACATTAAGTGCGCCAGATTACCGTTCAGTCCAATTTCTTTTCAATCCATTTGATTGCATATGTAATATGCTCGATGCAAATTCGCACCAGCAACTTCGCATTTTTCGTTCATTTTTCATCTTGATTCAAAATATTCATGTGAATTGTTCAGGTGCGAGATGCTCCATCAGATTCTATTTTCGGTTTTGATCCTGTGCACGACATTCAGAATCACATCTGCGTCTCAGTTTCTTCAACTCACCGATTTGCACTACGATAAAGATTATTCATCTCAGTTTGGTAGCCGTTCAAATAAGTGTCATAACGCAACTAAACCCTCTGACCTACCGAAGAAACGCCTCGGGCAATTTGGTGACTATGCTTGTGACGCGCCGAAGGTATGTTTGAAGAATTGCTTTTTTTGTTCCTTTTCTCAAATATCGGTGAATTTTCTTATGAAAAATGCCTTGTGTCTTATATTTAATCCTCTTTTTAATTGTATTTTTATCATCCAAACATGTTACCTAAATGGTGGTTTCTTATGCTCCGAGCAGTAGTTCTCGTGAACCACTGTAGTGCTCCGAGCTGTAATGTAGTCAGAATGGCGATTGAATTGTCACAGATTACTTAGATTGGCCAGATGATATGCTGTCACGGATAGCGAACAATATCTTGCACTGCACGAATCGTTATTTAAATGCAACAATATTATTGTTCCTTTTGCAACCGCACTATCCGTCTTTAGTATGAGTCGATCTGTTGCTGAATTTTTTGTTAAATTATCCAAAAATCAATCACTTTTTTTGCAGAGTTTAATAAGGAACGCTTTGAACGCCGCTTACGAGATACTCCCCAATCCAGATTTTATTTTTTGGACTGGTGATAGTATACCGCATATCGATAACTATGACGAAACATGTAAGTGCATAACGTTGATCTTTCCGAATTGATAGATCAAATTTAGTATTTTTGAATCGTCTTACAGTATGAATACAGCGGTATGAAAGATGTAGACTTCCCTCAACACCTACAAGCTCAATAATGGACTCAATCGCCGTGAATGAATCGCATATTAAATGCATGGATTTTTTTTCTATCGGAAACGTATTACCATTTACGTCTATTGGCTGGCCGGGAGCAGATGGAGTTATCCGTAGTAAAACATCACATTTCTGTTCTTCAATTAACAGTTCTCAAGCTCTTACGCTTCTTGCCCTCCACTGGCCGTATGGTAGACGACCATCTTCCCATTCAAATGACCCACGTTATCGCAGTTTTCCTATCACTTCATAGTGATGAATCAGTAAAAATCGGGAAATTATTCTACTTATCAGGAGTTTTCTGCCAATAATTCGTCAGTGTTATCGAAGGAGTCAATGTGTTTTCGAACTTTTTCATCCAACGAATTTTTTGAAAACATTATTGGACAGTTGTGGAACAATTAGGGAAAAAATCAATCAGCAACGATTTGCCGAGCTCCTTACTTCCCACTATCCTTTCCATATGGGAATCACCGAAATACTGTTCCATGTGATTTCAGATGTATATCGCTCATTGCTAACAGTCACTTCAATGATCAAAGCAAAATTTCCAAACGTGAGAGTATTACCGTTATTCGGTAATCGCGATTATGCACCTGCAAACGCATTTCCAGATCATAATTGTCTGTTGTACGAAAGGATATTTAATTTATGGAAAAGGTGGATTGGAACTGCTAATCGGGTAAGAAATTGCTGTTCGTATCCCGAATGAGAAATATTCAGGGGCCCTTTGAAGCAAGCGAATCACCCTGCAATTTTATCATTATTTTCAGCTCAGAATTTGGGCTTATCCCCTCCCCTCTTGCCCCTTTGCTATCCCATAGCTATAAGTCTATAAGCAGACCTTAATGATCAGACAATTCATTAGTTATCGATGCCGATGTGATGGTGTTCCATCTCATCGACATCAATTTATATGATCAGATGTATCATTCTTCTGCTGCCAAACTGTTATTTTTCTGCAGCATACGTTCCTGAAAGGTGGCTATTACAAGTATGTTCTGGGTAACAAAGTTGTTGTATTGGCGTTGAACACCAATCTTTACTATCGTCTCAATCGTGCAATTCCGAGGTTTAAAAATCCAGATGACCCGGCAGATCAATTCCAGTTCATGATCGATACTCTGAACGATGCACGCGCTAAGCAGCTTTTCGTTCATGTTATCGCGCATATTGCTCCTGGAGGTAACGAGTTGGTATTCTGATATCATATTCTGAAGAAATCATGAGCATAATTCTAAAATATGGTTTTTCGGATGCAACTTCGAAAAAAGTTTTTTCGAAGTTGCATACGAACAAAAGTTTTTTAAGACAGTCATGAATGAAGCTGTTCGAGGCATGTGTTTCAATCGCACGCTCTTAGAAAATTTGTAGTAAGGCATTTATTAATTCTAGCAACAAATCATCGATTATGCTACGCGAGTTTTAAAATTATGCACCAGGTGTATTCTGTTTTGTAGTATTCGAACGTACACCAAATTTCAAGTGGATGGTACCAAAATATAACCAGCGATTCATCGACATTACGATAGAGTATGCAGACACGATCAAGTGGATGATTTTTGGACATCATCATACGGATACGTTCCATATTGTGAAGGTTTCTCTTCCATCACATGAATATATCAACTGATGCGAGCGATCTCAATTTCAGTGATTGTGTAGCGTTCGAATATTGAAATTTCCGTCGAAATATCTTGTTTTTCAGGATCCTAAAACTCATCATGTGGCTCAAGTTTACCTGATGGCACCAGCCGTAGCGCCGTGGTTCAGTTCGCTTGAGGGCACTACCTCTAACAATCCAGCGTTCAGAATTTACGAGTACGACGAGACAACCCAGCGATTGATAGATGCAAAGTATGTCTACCAGAACAACTACCAGCCCTTTCTTCTAATACAAAATCAATGAATGTGAATAGCTTCAGCTTCAAGCGATACGGTATATAGGTTGCGAAACACCATCTGTCACCTCAAACCTGTGAAAAAAAGTGAAAAATGAAGTCAGTGGTTCAGTAGGATCTGACTATAACTTCAGCGCCATATTTTTGATTTGAATAATTACAGAACCTATTCTGTGAACTTGACCAAACTGAACAGATTCTCTTATAATCGGTCGATATGGGAGTTAGAATACTCGATGGCGCAAACGTATCAAATAAGTTAGTAAAGATTTCAGTTTTACAATGAACCAAGCAGTTTGTCAGTGCTCTACCTTGATGTCTTTAACTATAATGATTCATTGAGATGAATATATCCAGAATGCTGATGATAACTAATGAGTCCACGGGCAATCTAATCACATCCTTTGATATCGTTGAAAATTGATCGCTCCCAAGTGAAGCCCAGTTATGTTGTCGTTTATAATCTATGGAAGAGTTACTCAGAAATGCATCCGAAACAATTCGCACTGCTTGCAGATGGTATAACCCCAGAGACAATGCATGGTGTCTTGAACAAGCTGAAGAGAGGAGGTGATGCTTTGAAGAATTATATAGAGTATAATTCAGTCCGTTGGAACGTCTCGATTCCTGAAGGAAAACTCCTGTATGTTTCCAGCATCTCTCTAACGAAGATCCAAATGGAATAACCTCTAGAATTGAAAGAGACAAGAACACACTGTCAAGTTTAACAGTAAATGTGAAGAAGGAAAGCAGAAGCGATATTGACAATAATGTTTCCGACGACTTTTGCACGAAAATATAATGTTCAAATGATAGAAGAGTATTTGTGGATTATTCATTCACTGATATTACTAACTATAACGATCAAGGCATCGAGCAGTAATCTGACCTGTTCTCTAAAATTGTAGATTCGAGAACAGTTATTCAGTCAGTGTGTTCTACTAGCCAGATGTGTATTGTTGCACTTCAGGAAAGCCCAATTGTGTTCCATCGAATATCCAAATTTTACTGGCTATGACCGATGCACGACGAGCTCCAGGCTTCCTTCAAAATCACAAGGTTTCATTGGTGTTCATTCATTGGTGGTTCATAAGAGCCAATTTCCCAACAACAAACTCTTTATCTATGAAGATTCCTGGATGTAAGTTGAGATGCCTGATGGGTTAAGTCAAGATGTGGATTGCAGGCATAACAAGAGGATCGACTAGTCGGTCAAAGTGGAGAAGGCCATCGTCACAATCATCCGGTAGAACGAGGACGAAACGATCTGTTTCGGAACGTTACTATCATTATTCTAGTGGTGCTGCACATCAACCCAAATTCACTCATTTACCCATTGCTGTNTGTTCTCTCCTATGAAAATCAACTCTTTCATCAATGAACACTTCTGCAGCTGTGTTCAGATTCCTGCTGGTTAATTCAAGATATGGATTGCAGGTACAACAACAGGATGGACTATATGGTCAAATTGGGGAAGTTCATGGTCTCAATCATTTGATAGTGCATAGATGACCACAACTGTTCCGACCGCAACCAGTGATACTGTGTACTCACTTGTTTATCGCTTTGTTCTCCCTTATGAAGATCAGCTCTTTATTCATGAAGACTCCTGCAAATATGTTCAGATTCCGGATAATTAAGTCAAGATGTGGATTGCAGGTACAACAACAGTATTGACTGGAATGGTCAACGTAGGAATGTCTATCGCCACAATCGTTTGATAGGACGAGGAGGAAGCGAACTGTTACGAAACGTTACTATATCATCATTCGAGTGGTGCGGTACATCCAACCAAGTCTACTCACATACTTATTGCTCTGTTCTCTTTTATGAAAATTAACGTTTGATAAAAATATGTGAATGTATTTCTTTTTGGTTTTTACGAAATTTATAAAATTGTACGTTTCGTTAAAAACATCATAAAACAACCGAACTGCAGTTGTTTTAGTGTGTTTATTCAAAGGTGCTGTCGATGTCATTCTGTACGCATGATCTATGGTTGTCCAATAATTCCAGTGGCTGTGCTAATGATCAGTTGCAGGGAAACAATGAGATAACTCGAAAGAGGCGCATATATTAAGGTAGAGACTAAGAAAGGCAAAGATTGCAACTGTTTTCATAAGAATCGAACTTATTGGCAAGCGCCAACGCAAGGTAGGAAGGGCATATCTTGATGGAGCGAAAGGAACTGGTTCAAAAGAAATCACATTCCGTAGATGTTTCATGTTGAGTGATTCACATTTGGTTTTCACCGTCTTTTTTCTGTAGGTACTGTTACCATCGTTGAATATGGATGAATCTGGAAGAAGCCATGCATTTTAATTTTCATATTGTCAGTAAGTTTCGTTTCAACAGCGATCTTAGCAGCGAAGCGAGGAAAGTGTGGATTCATCCTCCAATGGCCAGTAGATGTTGTCATCTGGAGGGTCTTCAGTTCATGGAAGGATCTCGTGGTATAGGGGTTATCACATCCGTCTAACACACAGAAGGTCGGCGGTTCGAGCCCGCCCGAGATCAAACTTTTTATTGCTTCCTAGCAGCGAAGCGAGGAAAGCGTGGATTCATCCTCCAATGACCAATGGATGCTGTCATCTGCAGGGTTTTCAGTTCCTAAGGGGATCTCGTGGTAAGTACTGCTGTTATACCGTGAAAGAACAGGTGGTGTGAAATGGTGATGCCGATGGGAACGTCTGTATTGATGAATAACGATTTATAATTATGAGCAGGTAGCCATCGCTGTTGAAGGTTATCACGTAGGAAGTGAATACTACGGGATTGCGGGTGGTTCGTGTTTTATTATAAACAGGTTGGGAGAAGAATGAGAAAGAGGATGCGGGCAATACATATTCAAAGGTAATTGGTGGAGTGGTCAGTCGTGTGAGGGGAGATGTGATGTGGTTTGCAGTGTTTGGTTAATGATAGTGTTAATGTGCAAAAAGTGGATAAATATAACATGTAGAAGGAATGTAGTACTGTGCGTATGTCTAACATGATTATTTCAGATCATGAAATAATAGTGTTGGTGGTGGATAATAATTATCGTACTTTCTCAAGCGGGGATATAGCT